TGCTGAAAGTAAAGCGGCTGTGCCCCGGGCAGATCCATGGAGTCCCGAAGCAAAAAAAAGACAGCTCTAATCGTTAAGGCTGTTATGGAAACCGCTGTAAACTCCTGATCTCTTCTAAACGCCTGCAAAACATGTATGCTGAATCCTCCGAATGCTACTGCATGCCCTAGGTCATATCATGGTGAATCTACTGCGGCTTCGAGTATGTGAGTTTGAGATGTGATGTTGAGGATGTGGTGAGCCGCAATGCCACGACGACACAAACGTTGGGACCCTTGCGGCTCGCGGAGATTCTAGAGAGATGCGGATAAGAAAAAAGGCAAAAGGTTTCTCTGTCGTGCATGCTTCAAGAGTGAGACTGGTCGCTACGTTGATGTGCAGCTTGCTTGATGCATCAGGAACACATGAGCATGGCGGTGCCCCTTCCGCTAACTTGTTGCCAACTTAGAAGCTACCAAGCCGCCCTTTCAGGAGCTTGCTGTAGGATGCAGAGACCCTGTTGCAGTTTCATGCGGCGTCGGTGAATCTTTAGAAACTTATAGACCTAGTTCCTGGACAGAGATGGGTTCGCCAGCATAGGAATTCCAGATCCAATTGCGAGACTTCTCAAGCCGGGCAAAGAGAAAAGACAGAAAGCCTTAATCCCATTTCGTATGCCCGAATTGCGCTGATCGTCCCTTGATTGACAGCTGGACGGGTGCCGCTTCTGTCGTCGTCTGCAGGCAGGGTCTGGACGGCAGTTTCTTCGAAAAGCAAGCGGCCGCAGAGATCTCGAGGCCGTCGGCGGGGGAGCCCTCCTGCAGCTTGTGTTTATATTCGAGGCGTCGGACATATGCCAATTTCATACTCAGACAACTCTTGCGTTGCAAAGTAGAGGGTTTCAGAACCGCGCACACGGAACTTTTTGCGTCATGAAACTGAAACCATTAGAGCCCCCATAAGTGTTGCACTGCAAATCACAAGAGGAGCAACCAGAAAAAGGCAAGGTTGGCAGAAGTCCGGAGAACCAGATTGCACAGAAGCAGCGACTAGAAGACGTGTAACGACCGAAGCTTTCGCAAGTATCGTCACGAAGAAAAAGTAGCAATGGAAAAGCTTGCGGCTGTCACGGCCAAGCCTGACCCCTATCTGGCCGTTAAGGAAGGTACGGGCAGTACCCACTCTTCGACAGCTATTAGGCAGTGCATCGTGACACGGACATGTCCTGACTGAACGAAATTTATTCACAAAGATGCATCAAGTGGGCCACCAAGCACTGCTATCCTTCGAGTGTACCCGTGAATCTATGATCTGAGTTTATTTCACGGTGAGGCCTGCTTGCGCCGAGGTTCCGGTACTAATTCTCTTCGGGCACAAGATTTTTGGTTCGTATCTGTGCAGGAACTCTTCGGACACTGCCTCAGATGCAGGCTGGATCTTGCCGGGTGTAGCTGTCAAGAGCATGTGCAGGAGCATAATGCTTGTTGTCCTGGTTGGATGGTGGGATTTCTGACTACTTGGGCCGTATGCGCTCATCAGCTGAGCTTAGCGCAGCTGATTGATGGTATCGTCTGCTTGTGCCAAAGCAAGGCTGAGAGCGCAAATCTTGGCTGGCCAGAGCATGGAAGCCAGCCTAGCACCTTTCTTGGAGACCCGGGAATTGACAGGTGCTTACCGCTATGACGGAGGCAAGCGAGACCTGTACAACGAGCTCATGGTAAAGTTCGAACGACTCCGGCCGCAGATCGCGGACACTGCAGCGGACCTTGCAGTGAACATGCTCGCCGTCCACTTCCTGCACATCGACCTCAGCAGGCGGCCGTTCAATCATCCACCGCAGATCCGTGATGTCATCCATGTTCTTGAGCAGGTCTTCCGATTTCCAGCTCAGTTGTACTGTGGCGGCCAGGGTGGGAATGCATGCTGTTTTGCACACATCGTGCAGAGAATATCGCCAGATGAATGGTATGCTCAGTGTCAACGTCTCGAGGAGTCTTTGAAGGGGCGCTTGAAACAACGTGCTGGAGAGAACATGACGCCAAGCGAGGTTGTCAGGCACCTCCAGGAAGGCACGGATGCGTCTCCTCACTTCACCCAGGAAGTCGCATGGTTGCGACAAAACCTCAAGCAAGCATGCATGCTTGCAAAGTCGTCGATTAGTTCCGTCCGTCTGGGTCTCTTTCTTTGGAAAGCTGTCTCAAGCACTTCACTTTGTCCAAGACTTCTGGCCTGATCTGCGTGCTTGAGGTGCCTGCATCCGCTTGCTCATGAGTCAAAGCTTGAGGTGCGCAATTTCGGGAACATGAGTAGTTCAAGCTCGCTGGGACTTGCCCCCAAGTGTTGCGAAATTTCTCAGATCTATGCACCAAGCGCCTACGCCTTCTGCATGCTCTGCAAATTCAACGAGTGATCTCAATCTAGTCTGGGCCCCAAGAAGCAGTGCAGATTCAATTGCACAGAAGCAGCAAACAGAAGATGCAGTTAAAAAAAGGCTTTCACGAGTATCGTCACGAAGAAACAGTAGCAATAGCAAGCACACAGCCAAGCCTGACACTCCTACGTGCCCATCAAGGAAGGAACGGGCAACACTCCTGAATAATTCGAATAGTGTTTGGGGGGGTATATTATACTATGACTATAAGAAGGAACCCTGCAGCGTAAACCTTAAACCCAGGAACTTGTGCGAGCTAGTCCACTGCCGCTCGGAGTCAGCTTGTAGTGATAGATGGTGAGGGAGGCTTTGTGAGCTTTCTTGTACAAGCATCTTGTTCTGTGCTGGGCTGTGGGCCTCCCTTGCGTGACGGACATCTGTGGAGCCTTGCCTGCTGCGCGCGAGAGTGAGACTCGAAACCCAGGAACCCCCAAAATAGTATAGGTAATTATTAAGGCCCGTACATTAGCGAAGGAGATCTTGTAGCATGAGAGCTTCTAAGGCAAGGCATCGTGAGACAGACACGTGCTGGCTGAACGAAGCCAAAGATGCATCAAATGGGCTATGACATGCAGCAGTCACCAAGCGTTGCTAACTTTCCAGTGTACTTGAGAATTTGTGATGTGAGTGGGTCAGGCGGTGCGGCTTGCTTGCGCAAGGGTTGGGGCACCAATTTTGTTAGGGCGGTTCGGATTCGTATGTTGCAGGAACTCTTCGCAAACTGGCTCAGATGAAGGCTGGATCGTGCAGGAGCACTGCGATGTGGCTTTCAAGAGCTTTTGCAGATGCGGCATGCTTGTTGTCCTGGCTGGATGGTTGGATTTCTGACCTAGGGCCCCCCCTGCCTTCGTTCACAACAGGAGCTCATGAAACGTGGATCCAGATGATGCAGCTAAGCTTAGCGGCTTAGCGTACCTTATTGATGGCATCCTCGGCTTATGCAATAGCAGCGCTAAGTGCACACATCTTGCCTGGCTACGGCCTGGAAGCCAGCCTAGCACCTTTCTTGGAGACCCTGGATTTAACAGGTGTTTACCGATATGGTGGAGGCAAGCGAGATCTGTACAACAAGCTCAATCACCCTAATCCACGGCAGGCATCCGTGTTCTTCAGCAGGCCTTCCGATTTCCAGCTCATTTGTACTGCGGCCACGAAGTGGGTGGGGATGCATGCTGTTTTGAGCACATCGTGCAGAAAATACCGCCAGAAGCATGGTACGAGCAGTGCCGACGTCTCGAGGAGACTTTGAAGGGACGCTTGAAACAACCTGCTGGAAAGAACATGACGCCAAGCGAGGTTATCCGGCACCTCCAGGAAGGCACGGATGGATCTCGCCGCTTCACCGAAGAAATCACATGGTTGCGACAACACCTCGACCAAGCTTGCCACTCAGCTAAGTTCAGCAACCTGGCGAGTCACTGATTAAGATATTCTGGATGTTGTTGTTGCCCGGACTTGATGCTGAAGTACACAAATTCCAAAGACACTTTCGGCCTGTGCAGCTAGCGGCCATCCTTCTTAACGTGAGAGCTTCTGGTGCCATGTCATTCATCATATGTGTGCTGCGGTGGCAGCAGTCCTTGCCAAGAGAGCTCCAAAGCACGCAGTACACATTCTGACCTCCAGCAGTGATCGCGCAAGTGACGATTGCAAGTCCACGAGGGCCTTTCTTGAAGCATGCACTGGCAGAGCACCAGGGCTTGCATCTGAGGGCCTGGGGTGGGGTGACGAGGGTATCTGTGTGGTCTATGCATAGTTTACGGACATTCAGCAAATGGTGATCGACGAGATGAGGAATGGCAAGCCATGGATCGTTTCAGATGGGCTGGGGCAGTAGATGTCAATTCCAAGGACACCGAGGATGACTGGCTAATTCGAATGTCTTCAGCAAGCAACGGCGGTACAGAGCTCTCTAGCATAGCTTGCAAGGTAGCTGTCTGGGAGTCTGGGGTACCCTATACGGTGTTTAGAGCCGTCCAACATTAGTGTCCAAAGCCGTGTAGCGCAGCCGACCAGCTCACTCCAATAGTCCAAAGGTTGAGAGTCTTTGCTTGTGCATGCCAAAGCAAGCGTGTCGGTCGATCCCGCGGACATGTTTGCGGCGAACACGCATTGAAGTGGTGCGAGCGAGCACAGACGCCTAGGTATGAGGTTACCATTGAGCTCATGTTGTCATTCTTCCCACCTTTTTAATGTGTTTTGTCAGATAGATTGGTGATCCTGGGCTAGTTCGTTTGCCGGTATGCAGGCAAGCGCACTGAACACTGCATCGGAGCACTCAAGCTGGATTCTCAACCCATCTTGATTTTGCTTCCTGCTTCCACGTGGATCCCCTTAAAAACGTCGAGTGAGCTTCTGAAGACAAGGACCGTGTAAGAAATGGCCGAAAACGAGCAAGAGATGTTGATTCTGGCTGCTTTGAGTTTGATCAGCTGAGCCAAACCTTGAGCCATGTAAAATCAGCTGCTTCGGCTCAATTCGCCATGTCAGCTATGTGGAACATAGCGGGGCTGTGGCTCTGGTTGACTTGGCAGGCTGGAACGCTTGGAATGCTAGACTGCACAGGACTGGCCCGAAAGGTCTACTGAGTCTACTGTTTCTAGAGCGGTCTGATGAGGGTGAAGTGCGGCTGCAGGTCCATGGTTTTGAAGAGGCCCGGGCGTTTCGGCAAGCCTGCCCGTTCAGGGGTCGCGTGCAGTCTCGGGGTGCTTCCTGCTTGGCAGGGGCTACGCTGCCAGTCCGCGACTCATTTCCAATTTTTTGAGCTTTGAGCCTTTGGCCCTGAGCTCCGATTGCCCATTCGAAGCTGATTGAGCCACCTTCACGCCCTCTTGCAGCTGGCTGGCCAGGCAAGAGGAGCTTTGGAATGCTGCATATGTGTGTCTTCAACGGTTGGAACACCGTGTCGAAGTGGCGTGCACGTGGTGCGAATGATGTGTCAAGCGCTTGATACACTAGAAATGCATAGCATTTCTCTTTCCATATGGGCCCCCTTTCCAATTCTTGCACGAAGGCTCTGTTGCTCGTATATCGGCAATGCGAGAATGTTTGTTGGGCGTTTTTGTGTCGGTGGATCTAAGTCAAACGATAATGTGCTGCCTTGTTCAAAGGACTCAAGTCACGCACACGAAACTCTGGGTTCTTTGCAAGACTCGACACAGCTAGCAGCTAGACATGCCTAGAACCAGTATTGGTCTGTCCTGCATGACCCGCATGTTTCCCGTTTCCACTTGGTGCACTGCAAAGTTTTGTTGTCCGTATATCGACACACTTGATTCACATTCGCAAGGCAGAGAGCAAGAGCCGCAAGAGCTTGGATTGGTTGATGCAGCAGGACAGGTCTTGATCCGTTCTTGTTTTGGCTGGGTCTTGCCGCCTTGTCGAGGAGCCCTTTCCAGGACGTGGAGAATGCAGGGAGGGGTTTGGGCCTGGCGAGACCTATCGTTTCGGAACGTCAAGGTGCAATACGATTACGCTCTGCAGTTGGGATGAATTCCTGGCACAACTACCTGAGTGCTGGTCTTCTGCTACGGTTCTTTATCCCAACGTTACTTTCTGCGGCCCAGATGCAAACACAAGCGGAGTACCAGACTTTGGTATTCCATTGACAGTTTCCGCCACAGTATTTGACGCCCCACGACCTTCCCTTGAGGCATGCTTTCACGTGCCCGCAGGCTTGTGCCCAACTTACGTGTGCACCAGCAATGACACAACCGCATTTTGCTATGATTCAACTGGAATCACTTGCAATGCTCCAAACGCCGACCCAAACTCTCGAGTTTGTCAACCCTGGACGGAGGGCACAGAGTTTTGCGTCGTAAGCGCCATCCTTGATTCGAATGAGACCAGCCTGGCCGAGATCGTCTATTTTGCGGTCCAGTGGGAGTGCTGCCCCACCACTACACCAACAACCACCACTACACCAACGACCAAGACCAAGCCGTATACTCCGTACAAGCGCAGGCCCGAAGCTGGCGTCGCTATGGTTTGGGATATGTTTCGCACAGTTTAGTTGCAGAAGGGACACTTCATGGGAACGCATACGGGCCTGGGCAAGGGAGGTTTGACTTGTGAATGTACCCAACCAGGTTGCTGTCGCGTCTTGGAAGTTTGAAGTCTCCACCACGGTGTGAGTCAACAATTTAGGTCAATTAATTAGAGTTGGCATTGGACAGCCTAGGGCTTGCAGCTTCCAGGAAGGAAAAGAGGGAGGATGGCAGGGGAGACTGAGGAGGAGCACAAGAAGGAGAAGAAAGAAAAGAGGAAGGATAGCAAGAGGGAGACGGAGGAGAAAGACAAGACGAGGAACCTGAATCGTTCATTAAATCGAGGATCGTCCTCTTGCGCGCTCTCAACTTCGATGTCAAATGTCAGTGACATAGTTCGGTGGCTTCCAAAGCTTTTGGCATTGACACGTTTGGCTTGGCTCAAACTCCATACAATGGTGGTCCTGGCTTCCTTTTTTTTGAACGGTACATCTCCGGGTGCTTTTCCAGGGTGTGGCTTGCTCAACGAAGCTTTTCCCCGGACGCTTTCAGGTCAGGACTGAGTCTTTTGCTTTGCCTGAGTCAAACCAAAGGTTGCGGTCAAATGCCACTTGTTCCACCGTGCTCACTTTGGGCTCATGCTCCTTGGACTCAAGATGACTTGAGTCTTCCAGGCTGCGTGACTGGCGCCGCCAAAAGCGACGCTGGCTGAGAAAGGCAGCGCCGGCGGCAATATCCTAAATGCCAATCGGGCGTGCGCGCAAGCTAAGAAGGACGCAGGTGGGGGTTTCCCTGCCTGCATGTTTGTTCAGTTGCGTTTTGAGGGTCACACGCACTTCAGGCCTTTGTTCTCAGACTCTTCCAGAAGCCTCAGCTTATCTGTGAACTGTTTAAGCCTGAAAATGTCAGCCCATGTGGCGCTTTCGAGCTGTCGGAATCTGTGCGAACTGGCATTTCAAGTGAATAGGCGAGTCCGCGATGAAATCGCCATGGGTGATCAGAAACGACAGATTCTTTGTGGCGGCAGCCTGCTGTGTCAAAAGCACACACCATGGCAATGGATTTATGGCGACCTGGACGTTCGAGTGCCAACAAGATGTGCAACAAGTGTATTGTGGACTTGACTGTTGTCGCTAGATTTGTTTTGTGTTGGGAAAGGAAGCCTTCCCCCAGTCAGACCAGGCTGCGTTTCCACAGTGTCAAAGGGTGGGTGCCATCACAGCTGCTGGGGCTTCAATGACGAATAAGGGTGCCTCTTCTGACCTCACATGCGCTCGCTCGAAGAGTCAGGAGGACGAGAGGCTTTGCTCGTGCACCCTGCAGTCAAAAGAGGATCAAACAAGCAAGCATGTCGGTTCATGTCGTGGACGCGTTGGCGGCGAAAGCACGGTCTCGGAATCCGCGAAGAAGAAGCTGCTTGTCCCTGCGCTTCAATCAAGCACTCTTGATTCAAGACCTGCACCTATGCCTAAGCACGAGTGATCTCAATCTAGTCTGGGTCCCAACCGTGGTTTGTCCAGTAAAGCCCCTTCGGATCGTACCGGCGTGTGCTTCCGACCCCGCGGCCTGGAACACAGAGAGCGAGAGAGAGAGACAGAGGAATGCAAGAGTGCGGGGGGGAGGGGCGGGGGAAAGAGGAAGCGCACGGGAAAGCGACAGGGAAATGCAAGCCAAAGGGTTTTGTTGGGGGAGGCCTACTAGCAGCAGTACTAGGGATGCCAAGGGCAAGGAGCATTGAACGACCTCCACGACAACGACAAAATATCTTCGCTGGCACGTACTGGTACTTGCATAGACGCAGCCCACGCCACGACCACGCTACTGCGAAGACGAAGCAGGCAAATAGATCATGTGAAGTATGGCTGAATCGGCAAGCAGATGTATAGGACGGCTTGGCTTTAATAGCTACATGACTACGGTACCGTAGAGACTTGAACACTAGCCCGTAGTTCAGCAGATGCGCACAGAAAAGGATAAAGGTTGCATAAAAGATAGATTTGTATACATATACATATATATATATATCTCTCTCTCTCTCTCTCTGTATGTATACATATGTATATATATATATATATATATGTGTGTGTGTGTGCTGCAGACAATAATTTCATCCTGTGCATGCTGTGGAATGGTAGTAGCACACAGGAGGAATCCGCCCAAGCCCCACGACCCGGTTGTGCTTCTGTCCGTTCTCATCATGCAGGGTTCGGCATGCGAGGTGGGGTAAGAAGAGGAGATGTGTTGGTGTCAAGCCGATGCCATGGCTTGAAGTGTCATAAGGGATAACAAAGCATTCGCGACCCTATTCGTCCAGCCTCGAAATTCTCAAAACCCTCACCTCAAGCTCAAAATGCTTATCTATACAGAAGCTCAGCAACCACCGCCGAGAACCGTAAACCCTCAAACCATCAAACCCTCCCTCCACCGGTGACCTCATGGGGTCGCATCTGGCACGATTCTGGGCGCTGCTTGCTGGGCTCCGTATCATAGGCCGAGCAGGGCACCATCAAACAATACTGTGGAGGCCTTGATAATTGGATTGGGGTTTAGTTCCGTTCAAGGGTTCCGAGAAGGGTTCCATCATAAAGGTTGATATCAGCGTTCTAGCCTAGGGCCTCACGTAACGTTAGATTAGGGCCTAGGGTTTGGGTAGAAAGCGGACTTTACGGTATGGTGTACAAGGATGGCCATCTGAACCCCAAGATAAAGATTACTATGTACATGAAGTAGCTGAAGATGCCGGACCCTCCTACCCGTACAATCCCTGCAAGCTTCGGATGGACTGCCATGTGGCTGCTGAGACCCTCGCATGAGATAGCAGATGATTGGCACCGTCAGGTTCAATGTTGGCTTCAGACCGTGGGTCATGCAGCAGTTCGACTTGTCAGGATTTGCCAAAAGCGAGTTCGGTGTCGTCGGAAATTTTTTCACCGCAGATGAGAGCTGCGGTCTGGCAGAGAAGGGGTTTTGCGGCAACACGATTGCATAGTTGCTATGCCAAGCCGAACCTGTAGACACCAATCCCTAAGCCAAGAACTCTATAAAATCTGTGCACTAAACTCTACAGGTCTTCATGAAATACATCATGTTCTTGAGTAGAGATGGCCGTTCTTTTTACTTATGAGAGCGTTGCCGTGCAGACTCTTGATATAGGTAGGTTTCACGTTAACGGGCAAGCACGGTTTAGGGCTAGACTTAGCTTCGTTTCAACGAGCAGGGCAGGCTTCATTTCAACCGACAATGCACTCTCACCCGCCTGCTTTCTCCGAGAGGGAGAGTCGAAACTCTCCCTAAACCCTACAACCCTCAAAACCCTAAACCCTCAAACCCTAAAGTAGAAACATTAAACTCACTACCCCCAACACCCTCAATCCCTTCAAGTATAAACCCTAGACCCTCCTGTTGGGCAGGGTCTGCTGCCGACGAGGACTGTCTGCTGCTGCTCGCTAGGTCAACGCTTGCTGGTGAATCTGGGCTGCAAGAGCCCTCACAAGATTCAGGGCCGTAACTTGAACTAGATTCTTTTAAGGGTTCGAACACAATGGCTAATAGCAATCTAGGCGCCCTAAGAAGTTGAACAGGGGCTTATAGGCTATTTCTAAAATTATGACTAGACTGACTAGACTAGGTTCGTTCAAAAGGTTCCCCTCAGCCTTCCACAATATTGTCTACTATAGGAGCCTTCAAACTTATTATACAACACAGCGTGAGTATTCTGTACTATTCAGGCTTCTGTCTGCAGGCGTGGCCGCACTGCATGAGAACGGTTTTCAGGGCTGGGCCGATGCCTCGCTAACCCACGTTTCAGGAGCTCCATCAATCCTTACCTTACTGCTCTCCGTATCCTGCGCGAAAAGGCCCTGCCCAACACACCGAGCCCCGAAGACCTCCCAACCCGCACTGCAAAGATCCAAATCCCACCCGACACACGAGATCCGAAATAAATTTCTTCCCTCCTACCGAAAGTAAAACCAACCCAAAAGCAAGCAGAAGAGCGAATCCTTAAACTACACAGAACTGAGAAGAAGTAACGCCCTAAAGCCGTAGTCCAGCTAGCATATGGAAGATGTCTGTGCACTGTATATGACGCCCTAAATACCTACTATTAGGGACCATCTACCTCTTTTTGAGGGCACATGGAAGCCGTAAAGTGTTTTGTGGTTGTGTTCGGGGCGTTGTTTGTAACTGTCGGTCCTTCTTGTTTTAGTCAACCGACCCCGTGACCATATGCTTGGCCTGGATTGTCAGAGGTGTGAGCGCCGAAAATGCCAGAAACCGTAAAGCAAAAGCCCCAGCAGACCGGATCGTAAACTTCGACACCCTGAAGTCCCAAGCCTTAAAACCCTTGTCCTTCTGAAGCTGTGGTTGCTATAGCATACAGAAAGAGTAAAGCAGCCTGAAACCTAACGCCTCGCCTGGATTGTCCGAGTGTGAGCGCCAAAAACCAGACCTCGAATCCGAATATCGGGGCTTCTTTACTTACCGAGACCATTGCTTCGGGGTCCTTCTTGTAGTAGAACATGCCCCAAACCCTATTTTAATTATGAAGACCCCTATCCTAAGCCCGCTAATCTCCCGCTCCGCCGCTACAAAAGACTCCCTGAACCGAAAAGGCCGGCTCGGGCATTTTCGCAGGGAGGAACTTTTCCAAGGGTGAGCTGTGACCTGGCCCCTTGTACGTTTCTTTTTGTGATGTTGGTTGCTCCTTTTTCAAGCTTCCCTTCAACGCCAGAATCCCTGCGCGGCCGTTTGGTGCTTTTCCAGGACCCAAAATGAGCCTCCCAGAAACGTCCCGGGCCCCCCAAGCAAGCAGATTCCAGGCACCAGGGCCTCGGGGCCAGTCCTAGGAGGGACGTGCCCAAATTTTCCCGAAAACTGCATTCTGGCCCGCTGCCTGAGTCCCGCTAGCCCTGCCCCTGCCCTGCCCTGCCCCCTGCCCTCCTGACTCTAGGAATTTAGAAGGAAGTGTCGAAGATTGCTTCGGTAGGGTGTTTAGGGTCGCAGTTCCCAAACTAGAGTTCCCAGTAGACATGTCTGTGGAAGCGACTTGCTACAGGACTCATCGAACGGACCAGTAGAACGAGACATCTTGTGAACCGCCTTAGTGTTAGGGACACGTCTGGACGTGGGTTTACGATCGTTGTTGACGTCGCCGTCGAAGCCAAACTTGGTGGCTGTAACAAGGATTGGAATAGTGATTTTGTGACGATGCCGATGAACATGATCAAGTTGACGATGAAAGTTGTTCTGAGGCTGGCATACTCGCGCGAAGTCCGAGTGCCTCGAAAGAACCTTGAGGCAACGCAGGCCTGGAACTATGCACCCTGCTTGCAAGGCTTTCATCTTAGACCCTAGGTCCCAAGAATTGGAAGCTTAGAGCCTGTAAAGGTCAACAGCCAAAACGCCCAGACATTCCTTTTCCTCAATAGGTCCGGGGGCCCTTGAACCATAACATAATTGAAAAGCCGCAAAAAACTCCCAAGCCAAAGACCCCAACGCCCTCATCCCAAGCTCCATACACTAGAATACCTTCGGCTACTCTTTACTATGCCGCACGCTACAGTGCACCAGTCTACACGACATCATGTTCTTTACATTTATATATATATATATATACATATATATATATATATACACCCCAAAGCCTGTCCCTGAAGATGGACGGAACTGAGTCGAGGCTTTCCAGCTGGGTGAGGATGACGAGATCGCGTCGCTGCTTTTGGGGACAATGGGCTCTTGTTTAGAGTCTTTATACGTAATCAGCTTTTGTTGAGCGAAGCTTTGTAAGACCTTCCCGGGTTTTACAAGTGCTTCGCAAGGTTTGCATAAGCATCTTCCCCAGCGGTTTATGAAGGTTCGGGAGCATTCTTTCACATACCAAAAGATGGATATGTCGTTGGTAGCATGCTTTCCACACATGTACGGGGTAACTTAAACACTGTTCTTTAACATACGCGCCCAGGACCGCCTCCATCTTCAACCATGCAGAGGCCGGGGAAGACGAAGAAGAAAGTCCCGATGTTCGAAGATGGAGTCATGTAGACCCCTGATGGCCCAACCTCATTTCTCTACGGGCCTTAATCAGGCCTTAGTGTTAGGACCCCTGTTATAATCCTCTCAAGAGGGGTTATCAGGGGTCTAGGTTACCCGTAAATATATTTCATACACTCGGAAAGTGTGGGGATTGGGTGAGGCGTACTCTCGCAAAACGTGAAACAGATGCCGGTACATGCAGCCACTGCCTAGTTGTGAGCGCTGAAAACTCAAATAGCATGACTGCAGCTTTTCTCATGTGCCCTGTATTGTTGCTTGCAAACACCCAGATCGCTCATGCACAGCCACTGTGCTGTATACCAGTTGCCTGCAGTTTGCACGGTGTTGAAATATAGTTTTGAGGATTGAGAGCTGCGAAAGCTAGGCTGCAGAGGAAAGTTTGCAATCACGGAACCAGTCATGCGCGAGAGCCCTGACCACAGAAGACACCCATGCTCGAGTCAATATACGTTTTTATTACCTTCATCCTCTTCCTCTAGAGGATCATCATTCCTTTGGGGATTTTAAGTGTATCTGGGCTTGTATGCACACGTTGGCGCCCAAAAATGGTTCCATTTCCTGAGCCTTCGGCACTTGTGCCAATGCAAAAAATAATTGCAAGCAGGTCTTGCTGTGACGGTTTCACAGTTTCTGTCTTGTTTTCTTAGACAACATGACAACTTGAGCTGCGTGGCAGTGGTATTGGACTTTCTCGATCCGTGTCCAGATTCCAACACCGTCGATTTTAATAAGCCCCGCTGCATTGGTGCCCATTTGGCGTCCCCAAATAGGAATTTAGGAGCCCTTCCGAAAATGGTCGATTTTTTAATAAGCCGCTAATATGGAAACGGAATTTTCTCTTCTCCCCGCTGATTGGTGCCCATTTGGCGTCCAAAAACAGAAATGTGGAAGCCTTGCCGAAAATAGTCGATTTCCTAATATTCAGCAAATCATAAAAATGCTATTGTCTCGTCTTCCGCTGCACTGGTGCCCATTTTGTG